TAGTCATCCCAACCCCCCTTCCCTTAATAAATAAGTCAATTCTACACACGATCAACACACCGCAGAGCTTCCTGATCTTACCTATTCAACACATGCGTCCACGGCCACTCAGGTCTCCACATTCAGGGTGGGCCTATGGCCAGACCAGGCCGACGGGCCTATCGCCCTACCCGAGGATACTTTTCTTGTCGGTGACCTACGAGTGGACGTCATTGTTGGCCTCCCACTCCTTCAGAGCATGAGCTACTTCAGGATCGATGAATCACGCCAGGGCTACCCGTGCGCGCGGTTCCGCATCTGCCCAAACAACGTGGAATACACGGCTCGCGCCATTGCCTCAGGACCAAGTCAGGCCATCGCGGTGCAAGCAACTACAAAGGGCCGCACCCGTCACCCTGCGGAGCGTGCACCACGTCCACTCTTGATGTCAGTGTGCCAGGTAGAGCCACTGTCCGAGCGTGCCTTCTTCAGAGCGGCACGTCAGGGCAAACTCAACAGCGCATTCGGATGTCACGCCGTCGTGATCCGCGTACCAGATGGACAGCATGTGCCCTTGGCCGTACCGGAACAAAAGGACGCAAGTGGGATCCCGATCGTTCCGAAGCAATGCGCTCAGCAACCGGACGAACCGGCTCGCCGCGGCGCGACACCGCAGGATTCCAAAGGGCAACAGGGGGCACCGACCGCAGCGGAAGGCGACCCTATCGAAGCGGTGCCGCCGCTCCTACGACTGCTGGTGCGCTCCCTAATGTCCACGCTTTCTCGGACCCCGGATTTGCTGCCTCCGGACCGCGGTGAAGACAACTTCCGCATTAACCTGCTGGACAAGGATCAGATGCAGCCAGTCTACCTCCCGCTACGCCATCTCAGTCCTGAGAACTCGGACACGCTCCGGCAGACCATAAACGACTTGCTGCAGAAAGGCTTCATCCGTCACTCAACCAGCCCATGGGGGGCGCCCATCCTGTTTGCCAAGAAGAAGGATGGCTTGCTGCGCTGTTGCATCGATTACCGAGGGTTGAACATGCTGACAAAAAAGGACCAAACCCCGCTGCCGCCCTTGTGCGAACTGGCGGATAAGACGGCGGGAGCCAAGTTTTTCACCTTGGTCAACATACGCGACGCATACCACTGCATCTGCGTTGCCGACAAAGACATAGAAAAGACCGCCATCTGCATCCGTTTCGGCCATTTCGAGTACTTAGTGATGCCATTCGGCCTCACAAATGCGCCCGCGTGCTTCCAACGTCTGACCAGCAAGCTGCTCGGCCCGCTATACAACGTCTGCGTTGTTTCCTATCTCGACAACATCCTCATCTACTCCAAGACCGAGGAAGACCATGTCGCCAACGTAACACGAGCCTTCCGGATCCTTGCCGACAACCAGCTCCACTTAAAGCTCGCCAAATGCCACTTCTCCCGCAAGGAAGTGGAATTCAGCGGCCATCTCCTCGGCCGCCACGGTTCCAGCATCGCGCTGTCCAAAGTCGAAGCTGTCCTGAACTGGCCCACGCCGCGCCACCACAAGGACATCCAGTCCTTCCTCGGCATGACGAACTATCTCTCTCACTTCATCGATAGATACGCCGACATCGCCTTCCCGCTCACCAAGCTCCAGTTGGGCACTAAGGACTGGATCTGGAGCGCGCGGGAGCAGGCCGCCTTCAATGAACTTAAGAGTGCAGTGACCTCCGCATCCATTCACGCACCATTCAACTCCGACAAGGATGTGTATGTGTTCACGGACGCCTCTGGATACGTGATTGGCGGGTGGATTGCCCAGGCTGCGGAAGAAGACAATGAGTACCCATCACCACTGCCGACTACCGTCACGGCGAAGCGCAATCTTCCTAAGTTACGCTCTGTTGCCTTCTTCTCACGCAAAATGAGCGGCGCAGAGACCCGCTACCCCGTCCACGAACAGGAGTTGCTCGCACTGGTCAAATGCATCCGGAACAACCGCCATTACCTCGAACACAGCACTCGCCCTTTCCAATGCCTGACCAACCACAAGTCGCTCATCCACTTGCAGACCCAACAGACTCTCAGCAAGCGCCAAGCCAACCGGGTCAAGGAGCTGCAGGGCTATAAGATCACCATTGAGTACATTGAGGGTGAATGGAACGAAGTCGACGACGTCCTGTCTTGGAACCCGGACTACCATCCTAAATGCGCCAAATGTCTGCAACGCTTTGCAATTGCCGCTGTGACCACGGAATGCCTCACCGACCCGCTCCCGGATGCCACACCCACCTCGGCCGCACGTTTGCGTTCTCCCGTTGTCGGCTCCGCGGCCTGGCTGACACATCAGGACACCAACGCCTACGCCCGTTCCGTCGCGAAATGCCTCAGAACGTCCCATTCCGACGCGCTCCCGATGGAATTACGCCCGTTCCGCCTGGATCGGGGTGTTCTCCGCCGCGGAACGGCCGCTTACGTGCCGGAACCTTTGCGTGCTGCCGTTTTATACGAATACCACGACACTCTCCTCTCTGGCGGCCACATGGGCTTCCACCGTACCCTCACCAAACTGCAGCACACCGTCTTCTGGCCGAAGATGGCGTGCGATGTGCGCGCATACGTCCGCTCATGCGACGCCTGCCAGAAGTTCAAGTCTCGACCAAACCAACATGCCCATGGCCTACTGCGCTCCCTGCCCATACCCGGCGCATGCTGGCACACCGTTGGTTTTGATCTGTTCGCAATGCCCAGAACGACGTCGTGGGGAAGGGAGGAACACGACTACTTTTACGACGGCGTTCTCTGTGTCGTCGATTACTTGAGCTCGCGAGTAGTCCTTGTCCCAACCACTCAGGAGCTGTCAGCCAAGGGACTCGCGTACCTGTGGGAGAGAGAGATCCATTGCCCGTTCGGCAAACAGACATTTGTTGTTAGTGACAGGGAACCCCGCGCCCTCGCGGACACGTTCCAGATGTTCCTTCGCCATGGCAACACGGAACACCGATCCAGCACGGCACAACATCAACAGACCGACGGGAAAGGCGAGAACCTGATCAAGACGGTCAAGAACATTGTCAAGAACTCCCTTTTGCCGACCGGTCGGAACTGGGTCAACCTCCTCCCAATGACAGAGTTCCTGTGGAACTCGTCACCTTGACCAGTACCCGACCCCGATGGCAAACCGATGTCCCCGTTCGAGATCGAGCGCGGGAGCAACCCCTTCCACCCCACAATGACGGAACCGGAGGACAAACGACGCAGGAGTTTACCCACGGCAGAGGACCATGCCGCAATAGTCCGCGGACACAGGGACCTGGCCAAGGTGATCCAAGAACGCATCCGCACACAGCAGGAGAAGCAGGTGCGCCAGCACAATAGGCACAAGTCCGCCCTCCTACTAGAAGCGGGACAAGGCGTCCTCGTCAGTCAAGAGGGGATCGATGCGCCGTACTTACAGGCGAAGCCGAGTAAACTGGTGCCGGCCTGGCTCGGACCGTTTGTCGTCAAAGAAAAGGGCCCGTACCCGAACACCTACGAGCTGCATCTACCATTGATTCACAAGAAGCTTTACCCCGTGTTCCATGTCGACATGCTGCGGCCGTACGTAGAACCCAGCGCATGTGTACTACGGGACGATGATGCTCCAGCACCGCCACTGGAGTTCGAGGACGGCACCGTCAAATACTACCTCGAGAAGATACTACAGCAGCGGACGACAAAAGGCGGCCGCCGCAAGTACTTCGTCAAGTGGCTGGGTTACGCCGAGGCAGACAGTACTTGGCGGGATGAGGAAGAACTCCTTGAAACGGACGTTTTGGCAGCGTGGCGGGCACTACCGGAGAAGGAGAGGACATGTCGGCCGCGCCAACCCGCCCGCCGTAGTATGCGAGCACACAAAATTAAGTAGACAGAAACACAGCGCAAAGATGAGTTTATATTGGGAGACCACAATGATTTTTATTTTTACACAGAAGGTTGTGCGACAAGCTTTCCAATTTCCAGCTTCCCCCGTGGGTTTTGTTTTGCAACATAGGAGTCAAACCTATATCCTCTCGGTCTTTTCCCGAGCGCGCTACCATTGCGCCAGTTGCACCCACGGCTCACCAAATTTCAATACAAACAGCCCAGGACGAAGCAGGCTTTACGTTGTGCTCTGTTCGTAAGATGAGCCCGCGGCGCGCTTTGAGGACGGGGCCCGGAGGGCCCGGTTCTAGGGTCTTGCCACGAATATCCGACCCTTCCATGATCACGACAGCGCCGGGGCATCGCCGCAGGGGGGTGTCCTGAGGGGGGATGGTATAGCAACGCACCACGGCGTCGGTGGTAGTGTCGTCTGTGGGGTTGCCTTCGACACAAACAACGGAAGTGTTAGCACTAACGATAACAAAGGCGACGCGGCGGGGGGTGCCAACAAAGCCGGTGACGATCTTTCCGTCATGCCGCATTTCGAGCGCCGTGCCGGCATCCACATGAACAGCCACCTTGAGGGTGACGTTCGGTTGCGCCGTGACGGTATGAGCAGCTGAGGGCATGTTGAGCACCGAGTAGAGTTTGGGTGCAGTGATGAGTCAGTTGAGCTCTGCAGACCACGGCAAGGAAGGAAGCGGAGTAAAGAAGAGAGGGGGGCATCGCGGTGGGTGCCCGCCTTAAATACTCCCAGCTTGGGGTGGCAGTTGTAAAGTGTCCAGGTCAAGCACTTAGGAATTTTTCGGGTGGGGGTATGTTATTTCAGTAAGGAAGAGTATATCGCAGGAGTCTGGGTTGTTTATTCTCGCGCCAGACGCTAGCCTATTTATACAGGAAGACTTAGGCTGGTTTATCCGTTGAGGCTACTCGGTGCCGGATAAGCCATGCGGAGGCTATGCAGTCACATGCGGATCCAGGCAATAAGGGCGCCCTGGCACGAGGTGATGTTTTAACTAGGGGGAAGGGGTGGAGACGAGACTTTGACAGGTGGCCGCGGAGAGTCGTCAGCGTTGTAGGTGGCGATGAGTCACGTGTCGCGTCTATGATTTTGTCGAAGTCGATATGCATCTCACACTCCCCGTTGCATGCAGTCGGTCTACGGCTGGACGCATAAAAATGTCTATAGTTTGTTTCCTTGGTCACGGAATTGATACCTCGTGCCAGACTTTCCTTGGTTCACGGAATTGATACCTCGTGCCGGACTGAAAATGGGCGACCTCGTGGGGGCGTCCCCCTCATGGAATTGTTACCTTGCAGGGGAGCCCATGCCTCTCTGCGGAATGTACTTTTACTACCACTATACTACTATATACTTTCTTTCTCGGGTCGTAAGCCAGGCCGGTTCTTTGGGTTGTCGCGTATCCATTTCTCGAAAGCTTCTGTCTGATCAAGGAAACGCTTGGGCTCCCATGTATCGCGCCAGTCTCCTTCCCACTCGACTTGGTACTCGCAAGTGTTCCTTCGGCGGTTAAATCGCTCACCTTTAAGTCGGATGATAGGCCATTCTTGATGGCCGCCGATAGGAAGGGGAGGTGGAGCCGGCGGGTGCGGGCGCAATGGATGGGTTGCGGATACGTGTCGTTGCAGAACGTTGACGTGAAAGACGGGCTAAATATCTCCGATGACTGATCCGGATAGGTCGAGTTCATAGGTGTCGGGGTGTGGTCCGGGGCGGAGTACCGAAAATGGTCCAATCCATTTATCGGTAAGTTTCAACGGTTTCTGCGCAGTGGTGTCGACGACGATACCTTCGCGGAATAAGTCGACCTGATCGTCAGCTTCGAACTTGATGGCAATGCGGCCACAGTTATAAGCGCGTTCTTTGCGGTCCTGAGCGTCGCGAAGTTTTTGCTGGACCATGAGGTGGATGTCACGCGCAGCCCTTTGCCAATTTTCAATGGCGGCTTGATCTGGCTGACGAAGAGTTGGCATTCGCGGGTCGACACGCCATCCTGGAGGGACCGGGGTTCGGCCAATTTCAACATCGAAGGGCGTTAGGCCGAGTAAGTTCCGTCGTGGTGTTGAGTTCATGGCAAACTCGACGAGGGCAAGGAATTGTTTCCAATTCTGCCCGCTATAGTCAAGGTATTTGCGGATAATGCCCTTGGCTTGCTGAATCGCACGTTCGCATCTTCCGTCTGTCTGCTGATGACGTGCGGTAGCAAACTCATGACGAGTGCCGAAGAGCTCAGTAAAAGCCGTAAAGAAGTCGGCTAACGCTCGCGGTTCCCTGTCGGACACGAAAACCTGAGGAGTTCCTGTGTGTTTCCAAACTTGCGACATGTAGAGCTGCGCAAGCTCCTGGCTGGTAACAGTCGTGGTCGTGGGAATAAGGAATGTTTGTTGACTTAAGTAGTCGATGACCATTAAGACTTGCGGCTGCCCAGGTACTGCGTTAACGTCAGGGAGATGAAAGAGGTCAAAGGCATGAGTATGATGTATGCCCGCGGGAATTGGGAGCGGTCGAAGAAGGCCATATGGTCGTGGCGGCTGGAACTGTCGACACTGTCGGCATGTCCGTACGTATGCGCGGACATCTCTGCGCATGTTGGGCCAATAATAACG